ATGCGCCATAATGACGCATGAGAAGTATTAATGACATTTTGAAATGACGTGACGGTTTGACGCAGCTCTCGAAACGTCACGTTGCTACCTCGCCATGAGATGCTCGTCGCTCGCGTAAGGTGTTCAGATTTCTCACAATTTTCGAATCGACAGTCCGCCTAGAGACGACCCCAATGGACGGAGGGACTAACTGTATGGGTCAAAATCTGACCAAGACAAGAATCGGCGTGGAAAGGGACGGCGAAAAGTTACTTGGAGTCGTAATATAGTCGAACGATTTAAGTACTGTGGTCAATGACTGTTGGATAAAGGAGAAGACTTAGTATATAAACTAAGGGAGAAGAAGAAGGAGAGGGGGATCCAGACAGACAGACACATTCTTCTAGAGGAGGAGGGATCTTCATCTCTCTCCCTTCCCACGAAAGAGAAAGAAGCAAGAAGCTCAGATCCTCACTGCATACTATGAATCTCATCATATCAAATGTATGGGGTTTCAGTGGCCCTTTTCATCTATGTATTCTTCATTGTTGTCCAAATGTTATGAGAATCATCATCCTCTTCTTATATCATGAGATTTAACCAATATTATAGTTAAATCTTATGTCTGCTTTGTGTGCTTATTCATATCCTCTATCTTAGATCTAGGTTAAATTATCTTTGGCTAGGTACCTAAAATCTTCTTATTTAATTAGTTTAACAAAAAGATGAACACTTTTTGGTCAAACAATCGGTCCGTAGAATAATAAGTAGTTAATTAATACCGTGCCACATTTGCATCTTTCAAAAACCTAAAGGGCGAGAGAGCAAAATTAATACAAGGTTCATGATCACTACAAATGATAGTAGATGTCACAATTAATCCCTTAATTAAGTACGGAATATGGTGACGGTATGGCACATATTTGTGTCTTGTTGACACTCAGAATAAAAGTGGTCCAATAACTTCAAGAAACAACGAATGAAGAAAGTTAGCTTGGATTACCAAACTTAGGAGTGCTACTATTTCAATCCATTTAATTAAAAAATAAATCTTTACTACCAAGATCAATGTTATCATAATTGAACACGTAGATAGCTTGGAAATGTCAGAGTTTAATATTTTGTCATCAGGATCATATCTATCAAAATCAGCCGTTTAATTAATTTTCCTTTCAGTATGGTTGCTACTTTATATATTTTTATTTATATCATACGCCTACTTTTTTTGTTGGTTTGAGTCATTCATGACAAGTAGGGGACTAATACCTGTCAATCGAAGAAATCATTTATTAAATACCCAAAAAAGATATGGCTGTTAGCCTATTATTTAAAATCAATTAAATACTCTTTTTAACGGTAAAACAGTGATCTCTTCAAGTCTTAGTCTATGTCCAATGCCTGGATATCAATTGAAAAGGAATCTTCAACTGCAATCCAATTAAATAATAAAAAAGAAATTGATTGCGACCATAATAATTGTTTATAGTATAAAGTTTTCCCCAAATACTTTTGTTTAAGAAGGCAAATCTTAATACAAAGATAACGTATAAGCGTAATAACAATTTACATATTATTGGATCGGACCTAACCATCACTTACATCCTTCGAGAAGTGATTAGTAGTTTCCTTTCTCTTCTTCTTTTTTCCGTCAACTTTTTGTTTTATTTTTTATTTTTCATAGGATATCATATATACAATCATAATATTCTGTCTATTGTTCATTTTAGGTAGAGATTTCAGAGTTCAGACTCGATTTTTGTCAAGAGCAAATTTTGTTTCACGAGGGGAAATGTTATTTCTATAGTTAAAGGTTTAAATTATTAATGTGTTGAGCATTAAAAGGTAGATATGTGGGTGCAATTTGCCCCACTGTTAGATTCAATTCTATTCCTCTCATGAGCATTAGTTTAATTATTTTTATGAACCACTTCATGGAATTCATCTCAATTCTATTGGATAGCCAGCTCTAATTAATTATCAAACCCTCTATGTACTAATGGAACATTTTTCAGGTGTAAACTAGAAATAGAAAATTCCTACACCAAGGGTGACAAATGAGTGACATTTTTAAATATGTAAGAAGGATAAGAGACTTAATTAACTATTAAGAAGATAACCTTAAGACCACCATCGCCATTAATCACCATGCACCTTCATCCATTTTCATTTCACCTTTTTCTCAAGATATCATTTTCTTCTCTTTATTTATTTTGTTGGTGTGTAGCAATCTTTAATAATGTAGTGAACTTCACTCGTTTTGGATCTTGCAGATTATACTAAAAAGGCATAAATACTTACAATATATAATATCTTTTCGTTCGATATTTTAAGTAAAAAATGTCAACGATTTTACTCGTCTTGTCAGAGAATATTTGATTTCTTGAATATAGTCCAAAATACAGTCCATATTAATCATGTTTGTATATCTCACATCTTTAAACCAACTACTGAAACGCATGAGCTTACCTCATATTGACTTTTGATAAGTTTCTAGCTTAAAAGCTTAATTAACTTGCTAAACTAGCCACTTGACTATATATTAGTGAAAAGTATTTTCAAGATATCCATCTTCTGCATGATGTCAAGCATTTACATGGACATAAATTATCCTCAACACTTGAAATGAAGTACTACTTATTTTATATAAAAAAGCTTACATCATTCATTTATAAAAGGATTAACAATAAAAATGATCTCTCTTGCCTTTATTTCTATTAATAGTAAAATGTAGGCATTTTCAATCAAAAGGACCGGGTGAAGATTGTAACATGCATTTATACTCTTAATAATGGATTAAAACATGGTTATTGGGTGAATGTAAGAGTCCACAACACTAAAAGATAATTGAATGAAAAAAAAAATATAAAAAAAAAAAAAAAAAAAGAAGAAGATGGGGGTTAATTGGATGGGACAGAAACGTGTGGGACATAATGATGTGACATAGATTTAGGTTAAGTGGAGAAATAAAACCGACACGTGGGTAGGAGGTGACCCTTGTTAATTGGGTCGAACGCGGGTTTTTAGCCGAGTGGAATGGACCAATTAACGCACCCAAAACACACCCTTCTTTTTTTCTTTTGACACTTTAACCGAAAGTTACTTGCTTGGCCCATTTACAGAACTCCCTCTAACTTTGAAACAATCAAACCCTTTCCTATGTATATTTATTTATTTATACCAAATAAATACTCGAAACAAAACTCATATATTTTGTCTCTCAATTTTGATCATGGTAATATGAATAGGTTATGTTTTCACTTTATTTCTGATTTTTATAGTTAAACTGTCTAGTTCTTTTATATAAACACCACCAAATATTATTATTTGCAAAATTTCAAAAAGAAAATTTGAACAGAAGATAACTATCTTTAATTAATTTAAATGTACATCAAACGTAACTATCTTAGTACTTTTTCCATTTTCAAGCTTTCCTTTCATATTGCATTTGGACATAAATTTTCTTTCCTTTTTTTTCAAAACAATTTCACCTTTTTTAGAAATCAGCGTTTGTTCATAAAATTTTCAATTTTCACTTGAAGATGCATTTTGGAAATTTTCGAATAATTGAAAAACTCCAAAAAACTGTTTTTCAAAATTTCACTCAAATCACTCACAAAACTTCAAAAACAACCCAAACTGAAATTTATGTCCAAACACAACTCCAAATTTCAAATACCATTTTCACTTGTCACCATTTTTTTAGAATTTTACAATTCTTATGTCCAAACGCCTACTTATATGTTTATATTTGACCATAAAGTTGGTTAAAAAGTAGTATTACTGACTTGACTTTCTTTCTTCTACTTTGTTTTATTTTGTCTTTCGGTGTTAAATTTCTTTTCACTCTTTTACATAAACTTTTGACTCATTTGAAAAGACTTGTACCTTTTGCAGTTTTTCTAGCATATAATTAAGGATTAGAGATACAGATATACTTGCTGCTTGCGTAAACTAAATACGACACTTATCATGTTCGATGCAGATGCGTTTAGTAAAAGCATTACCGTTTAAATTTTGATCCCATTAAGAAAACTTTTAGTAAAATAGCTCCCATCCAAATTTTTTAAATTTCGTTAATTTTAGTAGTGTGCTTCAAAATTCTGGCAGTATGCTTCACTATTTTGACAGCATACTTTTAAATTCTAACAGCGTGCTTTAGAACTCTTAGCCGGACTATTTTTTTGAACTTTTTTTACCGTGGTAAAAAATCAACAGTGGCACAAAATTATTCTATTTCTGTCATTCTCCCCTTAAACCTTCTCTGAAGGTTGTCTAGTACCATTAAATTAAACTAAATGTTTTCCATCACTCCTTAACAATCACTAAGATTTTGTTGAATGTTAGCCAATTACCATTTAAAAGAACTTAAAACAAAATTTCTGAAAATCATACATCAGAAAAACTAAATAAAATAAAAAAGACGTATGAGCAGCATGTATGTGTCTCAAAGAAAATTCGGTGATCAATAGTTTATATTTCAAACTATATTATTATAAATTGTAAAAAAAAAAAAAATGTATGGTCGAATGGTGATATCTTGACAAGTGTTAGCTAAGTAAGTGTAACAGCCTATTATAACAGGTGTCATCCATCCTATATTGGTTCGCCAAAAATATTTACTATTTATATTCTTTTAGAAAACAATAAGTAGATGTATAGATAAGTCCTGCTTAAAAAGCCTTTGAACGTCTATAACTCCAGACTCAAATAGAAATAGAATTATAATTAGATATACTAATATTTCTTCCAAAAAGTGTTGCGTATATCATTCTGATTTCTTATTAATTACGAAAGAAGGAAAATAGTAGGAAAAGCTTAGTAGTACAGAAAAGTATAGTAATTATGATGTAGAAACAATGTAGGGGACCCTCAATGGCTCATTTCATTTGTTAAGCGTCCAAATATGCAATTTTCACATATCCAACACGTGGTCTTCTTCTCCTACATGTTAGAAAGTGGACCCCATCCCACACTCTCCCCCTACTCTATATATACAAATCCCCCTCTCTCTTCTCTCCCCAACAACTTAACCAAAAAACACTCTCTCATTTCCCACCTCTTTTCTCTCCAAAACTCTCACATTTTCCTTCACAAAACAACACACCCAAAAGCACTCAAATACAAACATAAAAAAATAGGTAGCTATGGCTTCTACTACTCCTGCTTCAAATACATGGATTAAGCCCAAGATATCAATGCCAAGAGACTTGGCTTATTCTTCAAATTCCATTTCCCTACTTAAAAAACAGTCTAATAGACAACTTCCTACTATTAATTCCTCACTCCAAGCTCCTCCAATTCTCCATTTTCCAAAACAATCTCCAAATTATCAAACACCCAAAACTAGTACTATTTCCACTTCCACTTCAAAACCAACCACTATTTCATATCCAAAACAAGAAAATCACTCTTCTTCTATAACAAGTCCTCAATGGAATTTAGTCCAAAAAGCAGCAGCAATGGCTTTGGATGCCGTGGAAAGTGCCTTAACAAAACACGAACTCCAACACCCTTTACCAAAAACAGCCGACCCACGTGTCCAAATTTCCGGGAATTTCGCTCCGGTACCGGAAAATCCAGTCTCTCACTCCCTTCCGGTCAACGGAAAAATACCCGAATGTGTTCAAGGCGTTTACGTTCGTAACGGCGCTAACCCGCTTTTCGAACCAACCGCCGGACACCATTTCTTTGACGGTGACGGTATGGTTCACGCCGTCCAATTCAAGAATGGCTCCGCAAGTTACGCTTGCCGTTTCACTGAAACTGAAAGGCTCGTTCAAGAAAAAGCTTTGGGTCGCCCTGTTTTTCCTAAAGCCATCGGTGAATTACATGGCCACTCTGGAATTGCTAGGCTCATGCTTTTTTACGCACGTGGACTCTTTGGACTTGTTGATCACAGTAAAGGAACTGGAGTTGCAAACGCTGGTTTAGTTTATTTCAACAACCGTTTGTTAGCTATGTCCGAGGATGATTTGCCATACCATGTACGTGTGACACCAACTGGTGACCTTAAAACTGCCGGAAGATTCGATTTTGATGGTCAGTTGAAATCCACAATGATAGCTCACCCGAAACTCGACCCTGTTTCAGGGGAGTTATTTGCTTTGAGCTACGATGTGATTCAAAAACCGTACCTTAAGTATTTCAGGTTTTCGAAAAACGGGGAGAAATCCAATGATGTTGAAATCCCAGTTGAAGATCCAACAATGATGCATGATTTTGCTATTACTGAGAAGTTTGTCATAATTCCTGATCAGCAAGTGGTATTTAAGATGTCTGAAATGATTCGGGGCGGGTCGCCTGTGGTTTACGATAAGAATAAAGTTTCAAGATTTGGTGTATTGGACAAATATGCAAAAGATGGTGAAGGTTTGAAGTGGGTACAAGTACCTGATTGTTTTTGTTTCCATTTATGGAATGCTTGGGAAGAGCCGGAAACTGATGAAATTGTGGTGATTGGTTCATGTATGACACCACCCGACTCGATTTTCAATGAATGTGATGAGGGATTAAAGAGTGTTTTATCAGAAATTCGGCTAAATTTGAAAACTGGAAAATCAACAAGAAGAGCAATAATTCAGAAGGAAGAAGATCAGGTGAATTTAGAAGCAGGAATGGTGAACAGGAACAAACTTGGAAGGAAAACAAGGTTTGCATATTTGGCCATTGCAGAACCATGGCCAAAAGTTTCTGGCTTTGCAAAAGTAGACCTTTTTACTGGTGAAGTAGAAAAGTTTATTTATGGAGATAACAAGTATGGTGGGGAGCCTCTGTTTTTACCAAGAGACCCTAACAGCAAAGCAGAAGATGATGGTTATATTCTTGCATTTGTACACAATGAGAAAGAATGGAAATCAGAGCTACAAATTGTGAATGCAATGACCATGAAATTAGAGGCCACAGTTAAACTTCCAACAAGAGTGCCATATGGTTTTCATGGTACGTTCATAAATGCCAAAGACTTGGCAAATCAGGCCTAATTTGGGAAGGTGAAAAAGTGGTGGTAAATTTGGACTATTACAGAGGAGATTTACCAGAGGGATGGTTTAGATGATACGTCCCCGGAATTTCCTCTATAATATAGTTTTTTCATTTTTTTTACTTTTTTAAAATTGTGAGAGGTTTTCAGAGACCAGCTTGTAGCTTGGATGTAGTTAGAAATTGGAGCTCAGCTGGTTTTTCTGCTTATTCTTTCACATTTTTATGTGCATGTGAGGGAGTATATACATTATGGGAAACTATACAATGTTTCTGTAACTCTCTGTTTCTTGTATATGATCAATGGTGGCCTATATTATTTCCACTTTCTTCTTCCATTGTCATTCACTTTTTCTATGGCCTATAGATTAATTTAATTTTAAACTATATCTCAAAACATGTGACTGTTGGTCAACCATTTTAATATCACATGTTTTACCTTACTTTTTCTGGGCATAGAAAAAGGGGGGGAAAAAATGAAACGTGAAAATATTTATATGTATTACTACTATAAATTACTGTTTCCGTTAACTTCTAGTTGTGCATTGTAATAAAAATATTTTTTTATTTTCACTTATCAATTTAAACAAATCAAGAGAAAACCAAAATATTTTTCCTGTTTTACCATATCATTAAATACTTTTATTCGCCAAATTATTTACCAAGATCTTGTAAAATGTTATTATTATTATTATTATTATGAATATTATAGTAAAATATGTACTTCATTTATAATAAGTCTATTATGGACAAGTAAAAGTGAATTGGAAGACTACCGAGTCAGTCAATTTTTTAGCATATAAGGTGAAAAGTAGTACAACTCCGTGAAAAAGGTGACAATTGGTCATATGCCAACAAGGAAGTCTATTTTTCCAGGAAGCCACAGCTGAAGTGGAAGGAAAAAGAAAGTTTAATTATTGCATCAATCACTGAGATGAAAAGTCTGCAGAAAATTGGAAGCTAATCAGTTGTCTCGAAATAGCGAAAGACGCAAATGTCTTAATCTTCCTAATTTCATGCAATTTAACAGGTTGGATTTGTGGCACTCTCTGATTGGTGGACTTTGCAAATATTTTTGGGATCCTTATAGCCTGTTTGGCCAAGTTTTTTTTTTTTTTGCCAAAAGCACTTTTGGCCAAAAATTGAGGTGTTTCGCCAAGCTTTTGGAAGGAAAAAAAGTGATTTTGAGGAGAAGCAGAAACAGTTTTGGAGAAACAGAAAAAAGTAGCTTCTCTCCAAAAGCACTTTTTTGAGAAGCACTTTTGAGAAAAATACACTTAGAAGTAGTTTTATAAAGCTTGGCCAAACATTAATTGTTGCTCAGAAGTGCTTTTCAAACTAATTAGCCAAACACAAACTGCTTCTCACCAAAAGTACTTTTGAAAAAAGCACTTTTGAAAAAAAGCACTTCTCAAAATAAGCTGATTTTTGAAGCTTGGCCAGACGGGCTATTAGCTATAGAGGCGGATTCATGATTTTGGCAGGATGTCTGCAGAGAAGAGATGGATCCAAAATATAAATTTTACGGATTCAACCTTTAGTTCTTACGATTGCGTACCCATTGCACTTTTGGAATTATAAGTTTAATTTATTTTTTTTAAATAGTAGTTTTCTTACATCTATATCTATTTTTTATGTTGAAAATATTGAGATCAGTTGAACCCATTGACTATATGCTACATCATACACTGCTACTAGTTTAATATACACATTTTGTTTAATCATATAAGATTTTACCGCGACAAAAGAAGAATAGGAATTTTTGAAAATTTTGAAAGAATACACCAAACAAAAAAAAAAAGAAATAAAAAGAAAAAGTACTTAATTAATACGCAGAAAATAACACCAGACACGCCCATCTCCCGTAGGCGTCTACTTCTAGAAAAAGAAAAAAGAAAAAAACAACAAGATTGATGTAAGATTTGAACTCACAACCTCACCTAGAGAGGTACACTCAATAACCATCACTTCATATAATACTTTGAGCATGGGTGCACACACAAATATTTAAATATTTTAAAAAAAATATAACATTACTATACATGAATTAGGGCGGGGAGCATAGGTTCACGTGCCCCATAAAATCCCCCTAGATACGCCCCTTCATAGCTAGCCAATTAAGTGCTGCAACATCATAATACACCTTCTGGGACTAGTTTGCATTTTTTTAAAATTCACTAACTCGACTAATTTTGATTTGCTTCGTGTATGATTTATTAAAGACAAAATATTTTCATACCATATGTTTTCTTTTTCTGAAGCTGAAAATCGAAACTTTTAACTAAAAGTGAAAAGATCACATTCTTTGCGGATGATTATGTTGCTTTAATCCCAAGAATATTGAGAGTTTGAGATAGTTTTGGGAAATCATGTAATCTTTAACATGTCCCGAAAAAGAACGATATGTTAATTTACTTTTCTTTTAGTATACTAGATGATATACCCGTGCGATGCACGTGCCCAATTGTTGCCTTTGTTTTCTTCTTCTTGTTTTTATCCTTTTAATATTTCTTGGTCTATTGTTAATTACACACTTACTACGCCTTTAGGGAAAGAAGAAAGAGAATAAGCTTTTGTTTAATGACGTATAGAACCACGATTACATGTATTGTTATTTATCTTTTGCATTATGTGCATTTTAATTTTTATGAAATCGTGTTACTACACCAATCACTTTGAAACACTTGTCGAGTTTAATGCTTTATTATACAGTGATNCAAGTAATGCAATGGATTCAAGAAGATCATCTAAAGAGTCATAACTGGGATCAACACCTTCAATGGGTCATCAGCAAAGCTAAGGGGAGATCAAGTAGAGCCAGTATCTTCAAGATGGTGATCACTGAAATATCATATGCAATATGGATGGAAAGGAACACACGTATATTTGAGAAGAGATACCGCAATAGTGAAGCCTTAGCAAGAGAACTAGCTTATATTTGTAATGTTAGAGCAAGCCTTAGATCTAGGAATCATATGCAGCAATTTTTGTTATAGTAGAATAGTTATCATAGGTCTATTTTAATTAGTACAGTAGAGGAAGATTAGATAGTCAACTGAGTATAAGCTGGACTATGGCTTTGTAAAGAATAATCCTTGGTGATTAATAAAATAATTAATTACCAAAAAAAAAAATTGACCGTAAAATTATTGCAATTTTTTCTAATTTCATTTGATATGATTGAGATACTATTTAGGGTATAATGCAATTTTTATCGCAATAGTAGTATTTGTTGAGACTATTTTAAAAATAATTAATTGTATATTTATGTATTTTAAAATTTATATAATGTTGAATTCTTATTGAATAGAGTATGTAATCAACTAACTTCGATCATAGAGGGAGAAGTATAATCTTGTATGATGATACTTCTCATACTTCCTAATATATAGCGATTTTTAAAAGAAAAAAATTTCACAAATTAATTGTCTTAATTTTTACTTCAGATATTTTCAACTCATATTTTAGAGAGGGGATACTTATTATACAATTTGAATTTTTTTTTTATATTCTATAACAAATTGAACAAATTTTATGAAGTATTCCAATTGAAATTGCAATTTAATGAGAACTTCGTATAAAATGATATCAATTGACAATGATATAATAAAATTTGAATGTAAATCTACATACATTATCACTAATTCTTTTTTAATGAAATCTTCTTACTTGAAATAGTTATAAATAAATAATATTTCTTAAGGAGATTATAGAATTGTCATATATTAATGTACGTGACCTTAGTATTTTTAATCGGGTGAACATTTGAATTATAAAATTATCAAAAAAATAATTTTTCTAGTTAAAAGTACTTATTGAAAAAATAATAATAACAATCAAGTAATGTATTTAATGAAGATAGTGAAGGTTGAATGGAAAGTAGGGCCCACCTAAAGAATTTAATAGCTTATGGGCACATTAGTTTTGGTTTTTCTAAAGAACCCACAACCAAACTTTTGAGCCTAATGTACAAACAAACAATGCACTAATATATCTAAAATGACCATTATGCCCTCGGTCAACCTCCTCTTCTCTCTTCTATATAATAGAATTATGAGACATACCCATTAGAGAATATATACAATACGCAGCCAATTTTATTATAATGAACATGAAGAAGAATTACAAGTTTTTTCATTTTGAAAATGAACAAGAAGATCACATGGAATCAATAATTTACGATAATGATTAATCATATTGAAGTATGATAGATATATTTTGGACAGCAGCAAATAGCAACGATGAAATGGTATACGTGAGCTGCTATCATTGGTCAAGGGAAATTGTATGAGCTTTTTTATGCAATAATCTAAGGTTGATCACTTAATTGGTTAGTGAGTCAATACTTTTTAGTTATAAAAATTGTGCATCCAACCATATCATATATATATATATTGTAGTCTATGTTTCACATTTTATTCTTCCATTTTCATATCATTTCGTGTGGCTATATAACCATATTAGTAACTAACTGATATTGTAGTTTTTAGCAATATTGAACATGACAAGGAGTAATACGTGGGTGTTCTTGTTCAAGAATTTTTAAAAAATTGACCCCTGATTACTTTTAAAAAAAAAGGACCACTGAGATAAATTTTGAAGAAGAAAGGTGAGCTAAAAATTAAAGATGTTAGGTATCAATCCTTGACCATTATCTTCCAAGGAGGACTCAATTTAATTAGATTTAATTGTTCATATCACACTTTGATTGAGTAATTTACGGCAAAAAGATAAAATATAAATTGTCATTTGTTTGGTCCTCGTAGATCATCAACAGCACCAATAACTAACTTTATTTGACGATTTAATACTTAATTAAAGTTTTGAGTATGTGTACGGATCATGAGGTATAAAAATGTGAAATATTGCATATTTGGTGCACCTTGGAAAAGGACTGTATAAATATAAAATCATCGACCATGTTTTGGGGGAAATGGGAGGAGAAAAAAAAAGGGAATGAGGAAAAAGAAACAGGGCTGTCTTATACGGCAGAGAAAAAGAAAATAAAGAAACAAATTTCGAAAATGATGGCTTATGTCTTAATCAAAAATTAATTAGGATTGGCTATATATAAGTCCGCCAAATTCATTTATTGCTGAAGTTATTGTATTTCATCGTAATACTCAAATTAGGACAATTTGAAAACAATAAGAGCAGCCAGTGCACTATGTACGGAGTCTTGGGAAGTGTCTATTGTATGCAATCTTACCCTGCATTTTTGTAAGGGACTATTTTCACGGCTTGGACTCGTGACGTTCTGGTCACATGGCAACAACTTTATCAGTTACGCGAAGGCTCCCCTTTAACTATTTGAAAAAATAGATGAAAAATATGGACA